AGACACAGAGCGATTGTCAATTTGGGCCGTTTTCTTTGATCATTTATAGTTTTGTTTGTGACAACTTCTTGTTTTTGTAAATAGGTCGATTATACAGGGTGTTAGTAAATAAGTGCGACAAATTTCAGGGGGTGATTCTACATGAGAAAATATTGGCAGTTTTTAAGAAAAACTTTGACACCCCGTATCTCGGAAAACGAATCATTTGCGGACATACGTTTATAAGCAAACTGCCATTATTTTCTCATGTAGAATCACCCCCTGAGATTTGTCGCACTCATTTACTAAAACCCTGTAGATGTTCCTTACAAAAAAGATATCTGTAACTTGTGCAAATACTTCATAAACTTCGACAAATGTTATGCGCTCCAAAAATGATGCTGCATGGGTTGTTATTAACGGAAAGGAAGTTAAATGTGATAAAACGAAAAAAACAAAATGTCTATTACTGTAAATATGTTAGTAAATAAATAAATTTTTGATTTATTATTTCATGATTCTACTAGTGAAATATAGTTATTTTATTCGACTAGTGGATAGGGTATCACTTTGGACAGTTTCATATGTGTAGATAAAAGTCCGACTATAAGGTGATTGTGGATAAAAACATTAGTTCCCCTTTGATGAGCTGAAAGTTTGTCATTTTTTAATTTTGATTATTTTGTACTTAACTAGTTTGTAATAAATTTTATTATTTTTCATTAGCAACTGAATTAATTCAGCACCTTTTTAGTTATTACTAAAAATTTAAAATTAAAAACTGAAAAATTTTAATATCTAAGTTTCTTTCATTAAGTACATTATTTTTTTATTTTAACTGCAAGGTAAAATTATTAAGGAGCATCCTGCTTCCAGTTTTACATCGAAATAAGTGAAATTTTCCTTGATATTATTGGAATATTACTAAGGAAATTTTAAAAATTTTGTAGAATTACCATGAAAGTTTATTGTACTTTAGAAAATGGACCTTTGAACTACTATTTTTGTTGCTATGTACCTACCTTAAATGTATTTGTAAGAAAGTTAAAAAAATATCAAATCTTACTTTCATATAATAGTGACCAAAATATGATGGTGATCATAAAGCTAATGGGCACCGCCATCTGGTGTAATACCCAGTAAACTGGATACAGCCTCAAGAAGATGTCATGAATGTTCCTAGCAGAGAAAGCTTTTGATAATACTGTGGCACAGCTAAGAACAAATCCAAATGTAGCCTGCAGCGTAGCTAAGGTGTAGCCCCAATTTGTAAGGAAAATTGGCCAGTAGGATACATCGAAGACGAAGGACATACCCCATGTTGTCAGAAGGAACACAACCACAGCAGTTCGATAGATCAGGTAGATTAGGCCTGGTTGTTGTTTGTTGAATTGCCACTGAAAAATATATATACGATATTGAAAACTGAATGTCTGACAAATTTCTGAGATTAACATTTAGTAGTAGACACTTTTAGCTAAAACAGTTTTTAGCCAAAAACAAACACTATTTCAAGTGGTTTACGCGATGTTTCAATAATAATCGGGCATACGTTAATTGAATAATCCTTGACCCAAAATGTGTAGATTTAACCTAAGATACTTCTTACTGACATGCAAGTTGTTTTATTAAATTTATTTTATTTTAAAATTATTTTAGCCTATTATTCTGATATTATGTCTTTATCGTATTTGACAGAAAATTTAATTACTTGATAATAAACAAAGAAATAGAAGGAATTTCAGGAATATTTTTTGCGACATATTTACGACAAGTTAACTTAAACATTTGTTTATGGTTAGTGTGCTGTATAATTTCGTTCTTATGGGTTGTGAACCCAACTCATATCAGTTACCTCAATGTTTCTTAAGATATATTTCCACATAAACTTAAGTAAGTTAATTTTCTTTATAATAATAAAGAAACTTTATAAACCTAAAAACCTAACTTTATTAAGATAAGTAGATTTACATAACTTAAGCAAGGTCGGACCAATTTTTTTTACATGATGTACAGGCTGGTCCATTTTCGATGGGATTTCAGGGTATCTCAGAAACTACTAAAGATATAATAAATCTGACACCACGTTCTCGAGCTCGATTTTCATGGCAAACTCGACTGTTAAATCAAAAATTTGCTATCTGCATTTGTTTTTGAATTACAGGGCGTTTCTCGTTATTGTGACACTTTTGAACATGTCTGTATCTCAGCTGTTAAATAAGTTAGAGTTAAAGTGAAAACTGCTCAAGACTAATTCTTTGGCGTAGAATTGAATGCCGGTATTAGATTTTTAGTAGGTCTTAAGATTCCGGAGTTATGACCCAAAGTTATAATTTTTTAAATGGAAATCGTAGCTGGTTATGACCTAAAAAAATGGAGATTTTTTTTTGCTTTTCAGCAATATACCACATGCTATAGTTATTTTTCCAAACACAGAAGATACGGGGTGTTTTATATATAAATTCGATCCTTTTTTACATTTTAATATGGCTGGCTATGAAAATACATACAAAACTATAATTCTTACTTTTACAAAACTCATATCTGTTGTAAAAATATGACGTTTATTTAAAATATATATTACAGATAAGAAAAGACAGAGTTTTCAAATTTTTATTCCACTTCAACTGAAGTTACAATATTAAACGTAAATTAAACAATAGTAAGTACCTACATCAATAAAAACTTTCAAAAATGATAGCTAAATGTTCAAATTGCCGTCCCTCAACTGTCACACATTTCACGCATCTTCTGGCAACGCTTCGGGTAGCATTCATTAAATGTATAGGTATTTGAAATATTATTAAAAGGAATTTTAAATATAATGTCTTTTAGAAAACCTCAAAGGAAAAAGTCCAACGGACTCAAATCAGGTAACCTAGCTGGCCATCTGATCGGTCCGTTTGTTCCTATCCACCTATCTCCTAAAATTTCGTTAGTATTATATTATCACACGAGTATATGTTGTGCATTTAAAATAAATGTCATATTTTTACAACAGATATGACTTTTGTAAAAGTAAGAATTATAGTTTTATCTGTATTTTCATAGCCGGTCATATTAAAAAGGAAAAAAAATATAATTTATATATGAAACACCCCGTATCTCCCGTGTTTGTAAAAATAACTATAGCATGTGATATATTGCTGAAAAGCGGAAAAAAATCTCTATTTTTTTAGGCCATGGTCAGCTACGATTTCCATTTAAAAAAATATAACTTTGGGTCATAACTCCTAAATCTTAAGATCTACTAAAAATCTAATACCGGCATTCAATTCTACGCCAAAGAATTAGTCTTGAGCAGTTTTTACTTTAACTCTAACTTATTTAACAGCTGAGATACAGACATGTTAAAAAGTGTCACAATTATAAGAAACGCCCTGTAACTCAGAAACAAATGAAGATAGCAAATTTCCGATCTGACAGTCGAATTTGCCATGAAAATCGAGCTCGAGAACGTGGTGTCACATTTATCATATACCCTGAATTCCCATCGAAAATGGGCCAGCCTGTACAACGTTAAAGTTAAGTTTTATTATAAAATGCGTGCAAAAAAGTTTGACTGTAGAAATTTATTGATTCTGGTTAACTGCTAGCACATTACCATTTGTCCAGTTTACTTGCATCAACGTTTTTTAATATTTCTATCAAGCACATCTCTGCAAAAATGTATTAACTACACTCAATTGCAATATTTAAGAAGCACATGATTTTGCTGCATTTTTCGAATTTTTTTCTAAATATAAAATATCTCGGTTCGTTTTTTAAGTTCTACTCGAAAAGCAGGCTTTTTTTCGAAACATAAAAGAGTAGTAATTTGTAGAAAGTTGAAAGATGTATCCGAAAATATCATGGTTGTTATCGTAAAGCAGTGGCGTACTATTTGATTTAGAAAAATATGTCACCCTATATCGGTGACATATCGAGAAGCCCTCAGATTTTGGAAAATGTCTACATGAAAACATGTGCCCAATTTCATATTATTTCACTTACTTACTAAATTATTAAAAAAATTAAAAATATTTTTTAAAGTTTAACATCCTGTATCTTTTTAACGAAGCGCCGTAGATAAAAACTTTATAGGAAAAACTAAACTTAAAATTGACCAAAGAATACGAGGTTTCATTTTTAGTCATCATCTGTGAATCACCCTGTATAATTATATTCAATATACCTACTTGTTATTTATGAAAACCCCACGAATTATACATCGTTATAATGAGAATTTTCCTTTTCTTCTAATGTGGCAAATATGGAGTCCATAATAAAAACAAAAGTATTTCAAAAACAATAAGTTTCACATAATCCATGTTAGGCTTAAATTTAGTCCTTAACTCTCCAAAGCGATGTATAGTATTACCAATAACTTTGGTTTCTATAAATTTTGCGGATAAATATTGATAGCTAAATACCTGATTAACAAAAACGTTTGATCCTGACGGTTTTAATCAGAATCTCAAAAACTGCAATTTTACAATGATTAGTCATTATGATGAACATTAATCCAAGCTAATGATAAGAACAACCAACTGGCAATAAAATTTGTCTTACACTAGCAGATAAATACAGTAATATATTTCATATAAAATGAAAGCTAATAAATTTCAAAATGCATTACTAATGTTATTATTAAATTTTATAATTTATCTCCTAATTGTGTTGTAAAAGTAGTACTTCAGCAGTACAGCAGTTGTAAATAAATATAACTTTTACTGAGCCATACACACTTAACTATCTCTAAAATGTAGACATTTAAAGCAATTATAATAAAGATTACTATTTTAAATGATCTATAAACTATGAGAAAGTTATATTGTGCTTTAAAAGTTAGATATACCGGAATGATTCCTTGTGGAAAAATAAGGTGGATTCTTCCTGATGATGCCAAAAAAGAAGTTTTTTACTTTTTCTGAAATTGTAAAAAAGTGATACAAATGGAATTAAGTAGTCATTTTCTGCTATCGATTACTGTTTCATCCTGGTATCCTAACTTCGCGTTGACGACCATAACTATATTTTCGTTTTGTGAATGCACCAGATCCTCGTAGTCCTTGATGAAGCCATGTAAATAACGTATGATGAGGGACCGTGCGTTGAGGATGCATTTGAGCATACCTTCAAGAGGCTTTTAAGGAATTACCATTAGCAACACCGTAAACGAAATGCATATCGGTCATTTCTACATTAGATTACACCTCCATCTTGATGAAATTGTACAAAAAAGTTCTCAAAACGATCACAATGTATCAGCAAATAACAATAACTGTAACCTTACTAACAACAATTAAGTTGCCATTACAAAATGTCAACGTGACAGATGCCTACTAGATAAAATTATTTCTACCCTATATCAATCATGCCACGTAATTGATTTTAAATAAATTTCTTGCTCAAAAATTGTTAAATTTACGAAAATTTTTATGGTAAGATAGTAATAAGAGAAAATACGTATGAAACTAGTTTTAAGAATGGCTTTTTCTACCCCTTACAACCATAGCGGAAAATGAATAAATTGTTTACTGAGTGTCCTCTCGATAGCAGGAAAAGTCTACTTAATTTCATTTATCAACTTTTTTGGTATTTCAGGAAAAAAATCATTCTTATTAGTTTTTCGGCACCCTCTTTAAGCGGTTGGCTCTTTTTTATATTTATGAAAGACCCACCTTATTTTCCACAGGGAATCATCACTTGCATTTTTTCGCACTTATTTATTTGCACCCTATATATGTATAGGCCCAATACCACTTCATTTATTTTGGCTGTTACATTTTCTGAAATGTACTATCAAATTAATTATTCAAAATGTCTATTTTGCAATATCGTGATATTTAAGGTCATGACAAAGAAGACATTTTTTTGGCACTTATGTCCAAAGTACATAAGGTCGAAAATCGATCTAGTAAAAATTTTGGGAAATGCTTCATGACAATGTGCAATGAGGTTGCCTATTTGGCGTATGTGACGTCACTACTAAAAATGTCTATTTTATATTGTGACATAAAAATCAAACCGCACATATCTCATTAGACAACAGAACTGACAGAATATTTTCAAAATGCCAGCTTTTGTGTTTTTTTAATTAGGTAACCAACAATATTAATTTCCATAATTTTTAAGCATATAGTTAATTTTACAAGAAATATTGATAGAACTATTGATTTATACCTATTGATAGAATTCTATAGATTTATTTACACTTATAAATGTACAAAATAATGTTACTATTAAAACTCTATTAAGGCCTGATTTTTTCACCTCCTGACAAATTTATCTACCAGTTAAATCTATATCTTTTTCATAAAATATACAGGGTGTTTCAGAAAGACCTCCCGTAAATTCAGGGGGTGATAGTACGACAAAAAATAATAATTTTTTGTCTTATGAACTACATGTCTATCTCCTCTTGTTTTCGAGATACAGAGCGACAAAATAAAATTTTTTAAATAGAATTTTTACGAAAATTTCCAAACGGTGCGAAATATTTTTATGAAATTTGGTATTCTGGGGTTTTTAAGAACGCCAAATACGTTGATGAAATTATTTTTTGGATATTTCATAGAGGGCACTAGTTACGCTACATTCCTGTTACATTTTAAGTTCTAAATTTTTTTAAGGTTAGGTTTTTTACCATTCGGGCTCCAATTTCTAATATACAATTTTATTTTCTAAAAATAATGTACTCTTGTTAGAACTTCCTAATGTGGACGGTTTTCGAGAAAAAAGGCTTTTATTTAATTGAACTCTTACAATATTACGGTGAAGAAAATAAGTGACTTTTCTCAAAGTACGCTTATGTCAAAACTTATTGAAGGATGTCTCATAAACAACGCATACATTTTCAGTAATATTTTAAACTCTAATTAACTTTATGCCAAAATTTTAGTGATTACAGTGACTGTAGTTAGTAATGACTAATTACAGTCACTAAAATTTTGATATAAAGTTAATTAGAATTTAAAATATTACTGACAATGTATGCGTTGTTTATGAGACATTCATCAATAAGTTTTGACATAAGCCTATTTTGAAAAAGTTACTTATTTTCTACACCTTAATATTGTAAGAGTTCAATTAAAAGTCTTTTTTCTCGAAAATCGTCCACATTAGGAAGTTCTAACAAGAGTACATTATTTTTAGAAAATGAAAAGTGTACACTAGAAATTGGAGCCCGAATGCCTCCTAACCTAAACTCAAAAAAATTAGAACTTAAAATGTAATACGAATATAGCATAACTAGCGCCCTCTATAAAATATACAAAAATGATTAGACCAGCGTATTTGGCGTCCTTAAAAAACCCAGAATACCAAATTTCATAAAAATATTTCGCACCGTTTGGAAATTTTCGTAAAAATTCTATTTAAAAAATGTTATTTTGTCGCTCTGTATCTCGAAAACAAGAGGAAATAGACATATAGTTCATAAGACAAAAAATTCTTATTTACTGTCGTACTATCACCCACGAAATTAACGGAAGGCCTTCCGAAAAAACCCGGAAAAGGAAAAAAAAAGGAAAAACATAGAATTAACTGACATTTAAATTTACCCGACAGCTGAAAAAAAACGACCTAAGATGCAATGAAATAGATCTTGAAGTTGCTTACCTGTGACACTACGAATAAAATCGGTTCATGATGAAATGGTTTAAAGTTACTTGATGAGCACTGTTCTGCTATGCAGCCTTTCATAACTATTTTGAAGGATTTCTAAAACAGTGAGTCCACAGTCAGTTTACATAGTTATGTATTATTTATGTCGGTGTAGTAATATACCTAACACAGTAGTATATAAAAATATGCTAGGTACATTTCTACTTTTAGCATTATCTTTATGAATCTATTTTTGTTTTATTAATTTAAATAACATGACTGACCTTATATGCCGGTTATTGGTTTTCCATTTCACGAACCGTTGTTGGTTAGTCACAGTGTATCACCGGTGTCATCTCATTTTGCAGATGAATATAATACCACCTCTAAATTCCATTGATATTAAACGTGATACATTGATAAATTTACTATAGGGCTTATCTCGTTTATCAGTAACATTTTTTATTGACGTTAAAAGTAATTAAAGTAGATGGCGAGGTGTGCAAATAAACATGGTTATAATTTGCCGAATAATATTAACATTTGTAATCGAGGTGGGTAATTCCTATAGTTACACATGCTAATAGTATTTTATAGTTGTTATCGCATTTTTATTGTTTGGTAGTAAAACCAAACTTTAGCAGTTAAAAAAATAGGAGGGTTTTTAAGAAAATAGCGTTAAATATGTTCGGACGTAAAATTAAATTAAATTAGAAGTACAAAAATGAACCATCTTCTTCTATTCTCTTTTTCAATATGCTCTACCTTATCTAACCTGTTAGAGTTTTCCTTTCGCATTTCAGAAAGCTTGTTGAAAGCTAAAAATTTCTGATATAAAATGAGATAACTGACGTCTATTTTAAAAAAACATATATCCTATTATTAGCTACTACATTTTTATTTTATTATTTAGATAGCTGCAATGCAAATATGGCCAATTGTAAAAACTTAAGGCGAACTTCGCTATAGGACCTCTGCGGATTCATCAAGGAATGGGGTCATACGTCTACTCTATTACCTTTGCGGGATTTTCGGCTAGTAAGTACATGTAGTATTGTAGTAAGACTGACAATTTCAAATAACATTATGTAAAATTAATTATGAATCAAATACTTATTTAAAAATAAATATTAAATATAATATAAAATCATACATTTTTACAATTCAATGTATTGTTAAAAATGTATGTTTTCAGCCACGAAAACTAAATAATTCCATAAATTTCGAATTTTTAACATTAAGGCGATGTTTCGCATTGTTTTAGCTATGTCCTTTCCAAATTTGGTTAGTGCAACTCTCTCGGTTTCGAAAATTCAATACCTATATATGTTTTAAGCCACGAAAATTGAATAATTCCAAATATTTCGAATTTTCACCACCAAGAACGGTGGTGACAGAGTTTTTAACATTAAGGCGATGTTTCGCATTGTATTATTAGTAGCTATGTCTTGTCCAAATTTGGTTAGTGCAACTCTCGTTTTCGAAATGTTTTCAGCAACGATACGCAACCACACAAAAAAGTTGTCTGTAATTTTCATGCGACATATGTTGTCAGTAGTATTTTCGCCTCCTGATCACGAATCCGGTACCAGAATTGAGCTATCACAACACAGGAATTTCCTAACCTCAAAAAACAGGTCAAAAATAGTAAAAATTCACGAAAAAGTGCTAGGAAAACTAGAAACATTTTTTTTATATATTCAAATTTTCATTTATATAGTTAAGACCCCGCCGAACGTGAATTAGCGGTCAGAATTTATGGTTCTTTTTCTAACCTCAATAAAACGGGTCAATTAAGGTCGGATATCACAAATTTTCAAAAAAATACAAATTCGCGCCAAATTTGGTATAGGGGGTTTTCGAGATCGCTGATCACGGTTTCGGAACCGTGATCAGCGATCTCGAAAACCGCGAAAAAACCTCGAAAATTGACCTCGGGGTCAATTGTTCAAAATTCAAAATGGCGGATCCAAGATGGCCAAGTTTTCAAAAAAATAACAAATTCGCATCAAATTTAGTATAAGGGGGTTTTCGGGGTCGCTGATCACGAATTCGACGTCAATTTTGCAAAATTCAAAATGGCGGCCGCCAAATTTTCAGAAAATAACACATTCGCGCCAAATTTGAACAGAAAAAAGAACAAGATATGGCCGAATAAAAGTAGATTAACACATGATTGGGTACTCAGGTTATAAAGTAAAATATTACAAAATGAGTTTCTCAATTCTGACCTCGAATGCGTAATCAGTGACCCCGAAAACCCCCGTATACAAAATTTGCTGCGATTCTGTTATTATTTGAAAATTTGGTCGACCATTTTGGATCCGCCATCTTGAGTTTTGCAAAATTGACCTCGGATCTGTAGTCAGCGACCCCGAAAACCCCCGTATACCAAATTTGCTGCGATTCTGTTATTTTTTGAAAATTTGGTCGGCCATCTTGGACCCGCCATCTTGAATTTTGCAAAATTGACCTCGGATCCGTAGTCAGCGACCCCGAAAACTCCCGTATACCAAATTTACTGCGATTCTGTTATTTTTTGAAAATTTGGTCGGCCATCTTGGATTCGCCATCTTCAATTCTGCAAAATTGACCTCGGATTCGTGATCAGCGACCCAGAAAACCCTCGTAGACCAAATTTTGCGCGAATCTGTATTTTGTATTTTTCCTCGCACATTTTCATGAATTTTGCTATTTTTTGAGGTTAGGAAATTCCTATGATGTGATAGTTTAATTCTGACACCGGATTCATGACCAGGAGGCAAAAATAGTACAGATAACGTATGTCGCTTGAAAAGTACAGACTACTGTTCTTTTTTTGTGTGGCTGTGTAATTGATTACCTAATTACAAATATTTCGAATTTTCACCACCAAGAACGGCGGTAACAACATTTTTAATATTAAGGCGATTTCAAAACTAAAGGCAGCATAAAAAGTCCGTATTATAAATTGGTCGAATTTTAGATATTTAATAAAAAAATATCCTAAATAAGTCCTTCCTCATGTTTCTGATATAACAATAAAAAATTATATCTACTCTGAATATACTGTTTACTTTAATGCTTTCTCGGAAACTCAATAAAGTTTGAATTTTTCGGTTCCAAGTAGGTTTATCTTCTTCGAACAATATCTCAAACTTATTTATTGCAGTCTTGTAATAAAACGTTTCCAAATTATGAAAAAGTAATAACAAATAACTGATGTCCTTTATACAGGGTGTTCCAGATAGACCTTCAATTAGACGTTTCTGGAAAACTACGAGTACTGGAATTCTGAAAATTTATGTACGGGGGTTTCTCCTAATGTTCTATCGATGGAAAATATTGGCGTCGCCGTGGAACTTCCGGTTCTACCGGAAGTAGACGTCAACTCACTTATTGCAAATGGAATGTACTATTTTTAATATAATTTTTGGATTCTACATCGAATTTTAAAGTAAGTTTCATAACCTTACTTTATCATTAAACTCAATAGTTTTTGAAATATTTTGACTCCTTCTAAATTTTTGGAAAAAAACATACCTACACTTAATCGATTCTATCTCCTCCAATTTTTAAGATAGGAAGCTGAAATTTTAGATGGTCAATACCAAAACATGTCCAAATATCTGGAATATTCGAAAGTTGGTGCACGTTACACAGGACGTCTAAAAAACACGGACCAATTGTGTCAAATTGAAAGTTTAATAACTCGCTTATTTTAATTAGAACACCCTGTATTTTATAATGCCAGTAGATGCACCTATTAATTATCTGTCCATTGGTATAAGCAGTCCCCATACCTAAATCCCACCGATTTTGAGATATGTGAATATAAGTACAGAGACTAATATAATCCGACAGTTAACTGTAGGTTGTCTGTGGAAAAACATTTAAATGTCACCAAGTGTCATTATTTATTTAGCAGATTTGTTGTCATTGCTGTAAAGCGAATTTGTCGATTTTCCAAGAGTTTTCAATAACAATGGTACACACACGAGTGTAATAAAATTGTTAGTAGAACATGTTGCGTGTTTGCAGAAAGATATCCAAATAAGCACAGACCAAGTCATGATATGGTCAGAAGACTATTAAAGAATTGTTTTGAGAATGGAAAGTTTCTCCCGGAACATGATAAAAGTAGGACAACGAAGAAAATGAAGTAAATGTATTGGCATTTTTCACCGCTTATCAACAGGCGTCAATTAGAGATGCATAATAAATTCACATCTATCAGTAGGAACTATTCACAGAATTCTGAAGAAGCATAAATGCAAACCATTTTCATTTTTGTTAATACAGCATTTGCAACCTGGCGATTTACCCCGACGTGTAGTCGTCGTGTGTGTACCCAGAGTGTGCCATTGTTATTGAAGACACTTGGAAAATCGACAAACTCGATTTACAGCAATGACAGCAAATCTGCTAAATAAGTAATGACACGTGGTGACATTTAAATGTTTTTCCACAGCTAACTGTCGGATTATATTCGTCTCCGTACTTATGTTCAAATATTTCAAAATCGGTGGGATTTAGATATAGGGAATGTTTATACCAATGGAAAGAGAATTAATAGGTGCATCAACTGGCATTATAAAACACAGGGTGTTCTATTTAAAATAAGCGAGTTATTAAACTTTCAATTTGACACAATTGGTTCGTGTTTTTTAGACGCCCTATGTAACATGCACCAACTTTCGAATATTCCAGATATTTGGACACAATTTGGTATTGACCATCTAAAATTTCATCTTCCTGTCTTAAAAATTGGAGGAGATAGAATCGATTAAGTGTAGGTATGTTTTTTTCAAAAATTTAGAAAAAGTCAAAATATTTAAAAAACTATTGAGTTTAATGATAAAGTAAGGTTATGAAACTTACCTTAAAATTCGATGTAGAATCCAAAAATTAAATAAAAAATAGTGCATTCCATTTGAAATAAGCGAGTTGACGTCTACTTCCGGTAGAACCGGAAGTTCCACGGCGACGCCAATATTTTCAATCGATAGAATATTAGGAGAAACCCCCGTACATGAATTTTCAGAATTCCAGTACGCATAGTTTTCCAGAAACGTCTAATTGAAGGTCTATCTGGAACACCCTGTATATGTATAGAAGCCTCCAGGAGGATAATGATTCTCTTTAGTCTGGATGATATAAATTTTCATATAAAGGTACGTATACATCTGCGCGCCGAGCAACCCGCGCGGTGTGTGCGCCGCGCGTTCGTCGCTCGTCCAATGTTCGTTTGAACTATTCAGTTTGAAGAACCTTCCGCGATCCAAAGAAAACCCACGAACATTTTAGTAGACATTTTGCATTGTAGATGATCATGTCTCTGTCGCGCGATAAAAATTACGCCGTTTCGGTGATGAGTGGTGTTTTTTTGTTAATGGCAAGTTTGTGCAAAAAGAAAAGG